ATATCATCGAGCATTGTAACCTCAATTGGGTTTTGATATGTAGCATGGTGTTGTTCCCTAAGGCAGAACTTTAAAAATAAAGAACTTTGACACAAGGGTCTATAACAATTGTATTTTTTAAAATATTTTTCCTTGCATTGTAATTTTTAAGTATTTATCATTTTATAGTACACGTATAAAGTTAAGATAGCATTTTAGAGTATCTGAGCCTTGTATGGAGTGATGTTTCATTTACCTGGGTTGTATTAATGACTGAATGTTGACAATAAACCTATTTTATACTGACTAAAATTTGTTAATTTTAAGCTCTGTAACATCTTGGAGCATAATTAAAATGAATACTCTTCCCATTAAAAAAATGTTAAAAGACTTTTATTAGTCATATTTGAAATAATAGATGCATCATATGGGATCTAAACCTTTTCTGCAATAAGATGCCTTTGTACCTTGTATACGTATTCAACCTTTACACTCGATCTTAGCCAAAAGACCAAGAAGCAATGCTATTGCATTGAAATATTGTTTTTTAAACTTTTATAGTTCTAGAAGTTAATTTAAATAAAATAGTAATCATGTTAATTTTTTAAATGTAGTTAATTTTTTAAACTTTTTTTTGTGTTTGTGTATATGTAGAATTAGTGATATGGAAAAATGTCACAAGTGAATATGGAGGAAAGAATAAAGGTATTCATTGCAGCAGTATTTGAAATATAATAGGAAGATAGATATACTTAATGTATATTTAGACCTAAATACTCAGGAAGTGGAGGCAGGAGGATTGATTGAGCCAGGAGTTCAAGGCTAGCCTGGGCAACATAATGAGATTTCATCCCTTCCCCAAAAAGAATGTATTGAGAGGAAAAGATATCTGTAATGTGTTAAATATAGGATTCAGTATTTCTAGTGGAGTGTGTTTGTATTGCGCACGTGCACGCGTGTGTGTGTGTGTGTGTGTGTGTGTGTGTGTGTAGAAAGTTGCTAACATATAGTGAACTATGTGCCAGACACTATTTTAAGTGCTTTGTGTATGTTAACTCATTTAATCTTTTGTACTAAATCTGTGAGGTAGGTATACATATAAATTAGGGATAAGAATTACACTGATCTTATGTTATTATGAAAAAGATATTTTCATTTTGAAAAAGAATCATACATTTAATGTATTAAAGAAATAGCGAGTGTCAAAAGCAAGGTCTTTTTAGGTCTTTTTAGCTAGGATTTTTAGGTGATGTTTAAAAAAAAAATCCAGGCTGGTCATGGTGGTTCATACCTGTAATCCTGGTACTTTGGGAAGCCAAGATGGGCAGATCACAAGATCAGGAGTTCAAGACCAGCCTGACCAACATGGTGAAACCCTGTCTCTACTAAAAATACAAAAATTAGCTGGCATGGTGGTGTGTGCCTGTAGGCCCAGCTACTTGGGAGGCTGAGGCAGGAGAACTTGGGAG